TTTTGAGTCCTCAAAGAATAAACTATGAGTGTCTGGTGTCTCCTTTGTCATATCTGTCATTTTCATTTCACTATGTTTACGCAGCCTCGAAAAAAATACCATATGGCATCTTCTAAGCTTAGCTAAGAAGATGTTTATGTTGCAAAATGTTGTTACATACAATTACAGATCATTAATGGGGATAGAAAGTGTAAATAAATCAAATCAATTTGCATGTGTGCATAAAGTTCTTGCCACCCCAGGAGACACCAGTGCACCAGGAGACACGCCCCTGGCATTACAACAGCTAATGTTGGCAACCCACCATTTTCTACCAAATGACAGTTTTTATATTTTTGTACAACATGACAAGAAGTGCATGTTCCCACAGTAAATTAGCAAGGTAAAGGTATGTTACTTAGCTAATGGTTATATCTACCGGACATAATTGTTAGCTTGCTATTACTGTTAGCTAGGAATTTACTACTTTCCAGTAATATTAACAAGCTAATGGTTATGTTAACTGGCTAATCATTATCTAGCTATTAGTAATTCTAGCTAGCTACTGCTTATCCCAGCTAGCTAACCATGTTAGTAAGGAATTTATTGTTTAAACATAAAATATGGCCTTCAGTTAGTAATGCCAATACAGACTTTTGTTCAGTTTTCTATGAAACAGTTGACTTCGAGCTTGCCAAAAGTTATTTCAGCCCAGAATTGGTTGGGTGCTAACAAAGTTTTTCAGATTTCGCTAGGTAGCATATGAATTTCTTATCAAGTATTTGTTTTACCTGAAATATGGCCGGAATAAGTATTTATTGTCTTTTCAGTGTTTTCCAGTTTAGAAGTATTGAGTTAAGGATTTGTCAGATTCCTCGTGTTCATAAGATTTGGCATTTGGCATTGAACAGCATTTGAGCTTCACTCCTAAATCTTGATGTCAAAGGAAAAATGGCCACAGCTTTTTTATGGGTCATTATTACAAATACCTAAAAGATCTAGTCAAAGCTTCAAAGGTTACATGAAACATACTGTGTCCTATTTTTCTGAAGCCTGAATTGATGCCGTTGAATATCAAATCATGAAGTACTACATATGATCTTGTCACAGTTTGCAGTCTGTGGGAAGTAGACTTGATTTGTATGAATTTCAGTGAAGTGGAAGAGCATTTGGATTGTTAAAGTAGCCCATCGACTGTTGTAATAGTTCAGAAAATTGTTGTTGGACTTAAATGAGGGAGGAGCCAGTTCAATAAATGAGGACTTTATTTTTTCAGAGCTAAGTATTCTCAATAGCCAGAAGACGAGTGAAGGTGTCAACATTTATCGGTTCACCAGTGAGATGGTGATAATGAGATATATAAAACCTATGTATATTTTTGACCACCCAACAGTGGCACTAATTACAATCTACTAAATGTATTTTTACTATGTATACTTTTAAGCCAGCCTTAAATAGCTCTACTAAGTAAATGTTTTCTTCTTCTTTCATAGATTGATTTAAATTCTCTCTCAGCTTTTTAAATGTTTCCATAGGATTTTCTCTTAAAATGTGCCTGTATAAAATAGATATTATAATACATAATTATTATTATATATATATAATTATAAATAAACTTTGACCAACCATACCAAGAATAGGTTCATAGATAAAGTCTTTGTGTTATAAACATATTGAATATTTCACTTTTCGAAAAGATTTACTGAAGGTGAAAAAATGGAAAGAAAAGAGACTTGACTGACGATTGTCGTGTGAGGAAGACGATACAGGTGACACTTGTCACTATAACTTAAATTAACTGTAATTATGAATGAAAACGTTTACATCCTTGGCGTGTTTGACTAATGTTGAGAGGGTTAAATTAGACCAAAAATACAATTTTAAGCACTTGAAGAGGAAAGAGTTTCAGAAAACTGAGTTTCTGTTTTCAAAATAAAAGCATAAAATCTGTTAAAAGTTGTTCTGCAATATAGACAATTAATGTGTTTATGTTGGAGGTAAAGCCCCTCAAGTAAAAAATAATTGATTGAACTCTAAAGTGAGCCCTTGCCATTTGATTCCAGCCTCCATTATAAAATGCACTTGAATGTCTTTTTAAAAAAAAAACTAATCTTATCTTTAATTTATATTCTTATATTCTACAGTGACTGGGGCACAGTTAGAAATAAAACACAACCTATAGATCTTTCAGTTTAAAAACAGGTTATATGGTTCATAAACAGCATGTTCCTTTAACTGTATTCTCATTATAAATGACAAGGACTTGTGAACATAAATGGTTCAGGGCTGCTCTTCATTTAAACCTACATTTATGAAACCTACGGGGAATCTAGTTTAAAATGCATCACAATCATTTTATTTTTCTGAACGCACAGACTTCTTTACAACTTCTGTAGAAATGAGGCCAAAATAAAACATTTGAAAGATTAGCTGTTCTCTTCCATTATTCCATTATTTTCAAAATAGAAGAAAGCAGTTTAATGATGAAGTGAGTTCAATTACTGTAAAATTAAAAGTGTCCAATTCAGCCGGGTTTTTAGCATCGGCTTGTTTGTGTGCGCTGACTTTTTTTTGCTTGGTTAGGGGCTCTACATTCATCAGTATTTTTGTAAGGCTGTCTGGTAAGGTAGCTAAATGTTTCAGATTTAGCACTAATGTACACAGTTACACAAAGTAAAATAATTCAGGTATTGGTCAGAAGAATGTACGCAACGACTCACTGCTTTAGTATTTAAAGCAAGCGAACTAATCTCTTACTGAGTGCTGTTGTCATTACAATAAAATAGGAAACATCAAACATTGTACTGCAGCATTAGAAGTGGCCCTATATCGTTTGTTTTTGTAAGCTGGGGTTAGATATGGAAATGGAAAATGTGCATGTATCGTTGTGGTTTTACAAATGATGGAGCGGTACGATACAGTTTGTGCAGCAAGCTGTAGCTTTTTGCCCTTGGCTCAGGTTAGGCATCTTAAATGTAACTTTAAAGTTGGTTGAATGTCAAAGCCTGAAATCTCTCTCGTCTGCTCAAATAAACTTCCCTGACCTCTTTGCATTTAAGAAAGAAAGTGAAACCATTTGACCTTCTCCTCATTAGGGCAAGAGCATTGCAAAGATGATCTTTTCTAGAGTCACAATCTACCACAAGTCGTCTCGGAGAGGACTGGCACCATGTTAATAAATCTCTGTTTTAAAAAGTCCTTGAGTGTGTGTGTGCGTGCACATAGGACTGGGTAAAGGACAACAGTTTTAGAGTAAAAAGCAGCACCATTTACTATAGTAACTGAATATTGTTAAAGTGTCATTTGCACCTGTTTTTCCTAGACTACATGAGCAGATCAAAGTAACAACAGGAGTGTTTTTTTTAATATGCCCCACTTGGAACAAAAGGTTGGATGCAGTGTGTTATGAGATACGGTTTCTAATAGCTGAGAGAAAAAAAAAACCCTTAATAAGCAAATGCACTGTCAAATCAACCCACAACTGTTTCAACTATAAATACTAAATGTATACTGTAGATTGTGATGACGGTTGTATGATAGATACTGTAAGTATATTTAAAAGTGTCATAATCACTATATCGTAATACTAAAAGGCCTGAACGGCTCCAGAAAGAAATGAAATCAGAAGAACAAAAGGTGCAGTTTATATGACCTATAGAGTAACATGAGATTCTGTAGTAAATTTTCCATGTCTGTCCTTGCAATTCAACTGCAACAATATCACATGAGCTTCATAAACTACATTTCCCTTGGAAATACAAACATGAATATTATAAGGTGCAAAATGCATTGTTCGATACAGTCACCTCTTCCAGGCTGCGCAAAAATCTTTTGTCATTTGTTAATAATTCATATTTGTTCTGCAATGGAAATGTATCCAGCAGCAAATAACATACATAGCTTTAAAAAAGTCAAGTCCTAAGGGGAGGGGGGGGGCGGGGTTACAAAAATGACTATGACTAAATGCTGATGACATGGTTTAGGATTTTTAGCCTTATTTTCTGATCTCAAACAGCAACACTGGTCAACAGCTGCAGCATGCCTGGTTCAAGACAGATGATGCACAGTTAGAAAAGGTAGTGTTTTCTTCTTGTTGTGCACCTCCAATATTTATTACGGTTCCATTGATTAACTTTTTGACAACAAATCAGCAGGGAGAATTTGATCAACAAAAGTACCGAGTTTAACCAACCAACTTGTAAAAAGGTTTTGACTGCTGCACCTTACAATTTTTTTTTTTTTTCTGTAAGCAGTATATAACCTTCATATTTTTAAAGGTGTTAAAACTTTGTAAAGACAGCAGGAAACACTAATCTCTTCAGCAGCTGTTTTCCTCACACAGGTAGCCAGTTTAGCCCTGGACCATTGTTGCTGGTGAGAAACTCTTTAATCGTTACACTTTGTGGTAATCTGGTAAGAATAGCGTCGCCCTGTCTAGAAAGGACTGACTGTTTACCAGTAATGGCTATGACCCACTCAAACACTAACTTGAGTAAGTGTTGCTCAAATAAAAAGCTGGTGAAATGTTTAATCTGGAGTATAGCAGCTCATTCTCGTGGTGCAGAACCTGGGGCAAAGAGGAGACTCCTCGTTGCATTTAAGCTACACCAGGCAACTTCACATGTTAGATAGCGTCACTATGTTCAGTTTTGAACAATGGATACCTAATTGTTAAGTATAAAGGTCTAATTCTGGTGAGTCCTGTTTTCTCAAATTTCTTTCATAATGTTTGATTCATTAATTCTGTAAGAAAACGACCGTCCACACCGGACTCACCTGATTAGTCACTCCTGATAACAAAAACGGGGGCCTCTTCCCTCTGGCAGTGCCACATTTTAACAATTTAGTAAATCTTGCCGGGTGTAGCTTCAGCAGGGACAAACCAGAGAATGCTGATTGCAGTGACAGTCGATTGACAGCAGGGGGAGGCTGGATGTGACATCACAAGCTGGTGTTGGATGAAGGTTGAGGTGGGTGGGTGGGGGGGGGGGGGGGGGGAGATGAGGATGAGTCCGTGGACCTCAAAGTCGCGTCTGGGCCTCAGGGATGTAGATCTCGATGCTGTCTGCCCTCTCTGTGGCTGAGTTCTGTCTAAAAGAAGCTGCTCGTTTGGCAGCCATGAGGCGTCTGCGAGCTTCCTGTCGCTGGCGGTCCTGAAGGTCCAGAGATCGCTCGCGCATCATGCTGCCACGCCCCTTGGATGGCCGCTTTGGCAATGGTGGGGGCCACTTTCGCTCCTAAGGAAACAGGATGACATGATAAAACAAGGTATCCAATCATGAGGGTCATACACTAAGCAAAACATCAAGAAGAACATTTGATTCTAGAGATGCAACCATTGAAAAAAATGCTGGTTCAAGGTACGGATCTAGAGTGTGGAAGTTGGTCTGGTGGTTGGAGAGGTACCATGTCGCTTCCTGAGTAATGCAGAGGTGCCCTGCCTTGCTCTGTTGCGCCCCCTGTGTAGGAATGCAAGTCAATTGGTCCTGTTTGTTTCCACACGTGTGTCTTCTGGCCTATGTGTGTGTGAACTGAAGCATGAATCTGGATAACAGAGTGTAAACCAGAATTTCCCCTCAGCGATTAATTAAGTATGAGAAAAAAAACTGTGATCAGTGTTGATTTGTTCTGGATATATCAAGCCCATAAACCTAATGGATTATGAACTGTTACTCTAATCAGTCATGTTGAATAAACTGCTCAACACTTACACACCCTTCATGGTGGATTACAAGACACACAACAGCAATATTTTTCATTATAGAAATGGTAATTTGATAAAGTTCTTATTTGATTTGATAAATAAATATGATCTCATTTTGGATAAACAAGAGACAATTTATTCAGCTCAGACCCAGAACTCATAATTGAGGGTTTGAGGCAGAAAATAGCAATATTCAACACTCCCAAAGAAGCAGAAATAATTTGATTGCGAAATTGGGCTGAAAAGATTATAAATGTTGAAGCGTGCTGCTTTGGCTAAACCGGACTGTACACATGGACTCTTGTTGTCTTGGGACACTTTGCCCAAACTTTGGTGTCACAGATTGAGAATAGAAATGGTCCACCAGAGTCCAAAGTATGAAACTTCATAATCAGAGCTCCCACTGTCAGTACAGCGCTGTGTATTAGTGTACCAGAAAAATATTGACTGAACTAAATCTGCCTACTTTTGACCCGGAAGCTTTTTGCAGTTTGCTCAATCCATAGCAAACTAGTATTGATTATATAGCCTGAACACTGCCGAGCATTAACATCATTGAAAACTTGTAGAGGAAGAAAACTTTCAACTTTAAAACTCTTAATGAGTAATATGTGAATGCAGGACAAGTTCTTTCTGGTGTTAGTGTAAAACTGCGCCTGCTCTGAGAAGAGCATCTGTGTCACTGTTAGAGCTCAGCTTCATGGCGCTTGCAATGTGCCCATTAACTGCTGGAGGTAAATAAGTCCTCTACAACTACAAGTGTAGCATGAAGATAATTATCAAAGTGCCCTGAAGGATCTCGTCTATCTCTAAGAACACATTACCGTCTAAACAAATGTGGCTCTCTTATCAACAAGCACCACTCTTGTAAAAATGATGCTATTTCAGCTGCTGGCTCGTTAAACTGCTGACCATTAATATTTGATTTGATCTAACAATAACCAACCAATCATTTTGTATATTCTTCTTTCTTACTGATTGTTGGAACTCAGACTTTGCTCTACAACTTCTGTTGTGATATGAGAGGACCTTAAAAAGTGGTGAACTTACCTCCATTGATTCACCTTGACACCTGTTGAGCCTTAACCCGCGTTATATGTAAACGTTAAGCAAAAAATAAAGTACAAATAGCCAGTTCAAATGTGATAGACGAGCTCTGTATGTGTTCAAACACTGTGTTCAAACACATCCCAAACAGAAAATAAATTGAAAGGATGTTGCTTCTTATTTTAGCTGAGCTGCTGTTGCCTAATAACATTGTCCCTGCAGTGTTATGATAAGAACGTTTAACCTCCTGCTGGTCACGAGCCTAAAAAAAGAAGGGCAAATCTTGTTACTGCATTTTTCTGCAAGTTCATCTGTAGCACATTAACACTAATGATCCCAATTCTGTGTGTGTGTGTGTGTGTGTGTGTGTGTGTGTGTGTGTGTGTGTGTGTGTGTGTGTGTGTGTGTGTGTGTGTGTGTGTGTGTGTGTGTGTGTGTGTGTGGCTGTTGATCCAAGGGGGGAAAAAAACAGCACCCAGTTTTACCTTCTTCTCTGGGCTCCCTACCAGCCGCCACTGGTTGCTCTTGATCTGCTGCAGCTCATCAAACTTGGCAGTGACGTCATCGATGGAAAGCTGCAAGAGGTCCCAGAATCCAGCCAGGTCCTGAGATGTGGGTCTGGGCATGGCACTGGGGTCCTGGAGAGGAAGTGTGGGGGTTAAAGTTTCCATCTTTGTATTGGGCTGTAACACTAATTTAAGAAGTTAACAAACTTTTCAAAAAGAACATTTAGTTGTGTGACCAGTTCGAACCATGCATTTCAATTCCTGTTCATGTTAAATTTAGAGACAAATCGAGAGAACACACACACCTTTTGGGATTGTCCAAAAGATGTGTTACCTGCTCATTTATTAGAACATATAATGTAATTGATAAAAGCAACATTATCCATGTTTAGATCATTTCATTGGTTATAAGAGATGTCAGTCATCGGCACAATTATGGATGTAACATGTTTGGATTAAATCTTTTACTGGATTTAAATCGTGGGGACTCAGTCTGGTGGATTACTGTGATCAGGAGAGTTCAGTTTATCTTGAAATGGTAAGTTTGAAGACGTGTTTGTTGCTCTCTGGTCTGATTGGCACACACTGGGCCGTCAGTGTGTGTGTGCCTGCTGTATTGGACCTGTGTGATATGGTTATAAGGTTATAAGGTGACATCAAAGCAGACATAATGAGTGATTAAAAAGATGTCCTATCATCGAATAAAGGTAGGATAAATTGTTATTCCAAGATTACAAGACTAATAGTTTAACAATGTGGTTAAACCGGAATTGTAAACACTTGTTATTGTCTTATGTTGTGTGTTTTTATTGACAAGGAAAAACATACATTAAAATTAACAAAAAAATGTTTTAAAAATAAACAACCAAACAGCCCTCCACAATTTATCTAAATCATTATATTGACAACTAAACACTTCAACACCTCAATATTTGAACCTTACTATTCCCACCACTGTGTGGCAGCACAGCACTAACACTGGTTCATTAAACTACACTATCAGTGCCTGGGAACATCAGTTTTGTCATTTTAATATATATTTTTAATGCATTTATCTATTGGCGTACTCTTAAAAATCATCACAGTCCATGTTAGAGGTCACATGATGCAGAAGGGAAAGAATACATCGAGAAGGAAAACACACATTGTTTTCCAAGCATCATAGATGTAAACTAATGAACCCTCTTTAGAAGTTTCCTTTCTTTTACCAAAACATAATATTATGGTAATATCCCTATGGTATGACACTGAAATGACATCTACCTGGTGCTCATAGTTGCTGCTTGCAGTTGACTGATGTTGTGGAAATTGCAAACCATAAATGACCCAATCAGGCAGCCATCTTTTCATCTCCACAGAATGAGAGAACGAGTGTGATCTTTGAACAAGGACAGGCCTCTAAAATCAAACCCTATAGACACACGCCATGCAGTTCATCCTCCTTCCAGCAGGGAGAAGAAAAAAAAAAGAGTCATTCTCTCATTCAGACACGTCTTAAAGCTCAGGGCAATCTAAGGCTTGTCACTACCGATGTTAGACCTAATTCATCATCCTATTATCTTTTTCGGGAGAGATGGAGAGAGGGCTGCCTGAAGCCATCCGTAAGAGAGCAACACACGAGTTAAGACACACGCTTCATGGCCTCGGAGAGAGCAGGCACATTTCAACAACCTCCACGAGGTTTTCGCATTTCATTTAGGAAATTTGATACGCTTTCATAAAAGGTGTGATGAAGTTCTTGGCTGTCTTTTGTCCCCGTCTCTTTCTCCTGTATCTGCCGAATCATTCCCACTAATGAAACTATGATCCTCTCGTATTAGCTGACTATTTGAGTGGATAGTTGGTAAAAGAAAAGGTATGAGTTTTCAGTCGACGTGGCATGAGAGCGAAACAGAAAGACAGTTTGGCAGTCCATTACTCAACCCCTGTGATCCCATTCAAAATGCTGCCTCCCTGCATTAATGAAAAGCCTCGACGCTGGTGCTGCTTCCTATTGGAATTCCCCTTCCGTTTACTGCAGGGTCAATACCGGCAGAGGGACTGCTTCACTATTGATCCCTGTGGTCTATTTCTGGAATGCGCACAAGTGCAGCGTCAGGCCGAGCACCTCCTCACGGCTCGGAGAAAGAGTAGCCTATCAACAAGTTTTGCTTCTGATCTTTTGGGTTTCTCTATTTAGAATATTAACAGCGTGTGGGGTCGATACAGTGTTCACAAATGTGCAGCACTCACCAGATTCTGCTGACACAGCCAGTAAAACTGCTGAAACTTTTGAGACATTAGTAGCTGAGCACTTCCAACTGCACTCCGGATTTTCCCTAGGACTGATGGACACACACACAAAAACAAAGAGAGAGAGAGAGAGAGAGAGAGAGAGAGATTCTGGTTGTTTCACTGGCTGCTTGGCAGAGATAAAAATGTCTTTCACTCTTTTAAAAGCATCCAATCTGCTCACAGAACGCCTATCAAGATTCTGTGTTTTCATCAACCACATGCCAGCTAATACTGTGACTGTGCACATGCTGCAGAAAATGAAAGATCACAGAATAATATACAAAAATCATGGACCTCTGAACACAAAAACAGCACCTGCTTTGACATGAATGTAGTTTCCCTCAGGACACTCACTCTCCTCTGACAGGTCATGCTCCTCTGCCTCTCTCTCCATCTCTTTGCACCACCCTTCAAGCCGTTTGGTTTCATTGTGAAGGAGCTGCATGAACCAGCTGCCGTCCCTGCGGAGGGGAGAGACTCGGCCCGCTTCCGCGCCCTGCAGACTGGGTTCGACCAGCCAGGGTTCAGGCTGAGGGCTGGGGGGTCCGCTGGAAGGCCGGTAGTCCTCCCTGTAACTGAACAGGCCTTGCGTGCGCACCGTGCGGATGGCACCGTACTGCGTGGGCGTGCTGGGCTCAGAGTGGCGACCAAAGCCACCGCCGAACTGCAGGCCCTTGTCCTCCATGGAGGGGAAGCCCTCCAGCTCCATGTCTGCCTGTACCGCTGTGGTCACGCTGTTTGAGCGCTTGAACCTCCCATGCCTGGAAATCCACACAGAGACATAATGTGAGGAATGCAGCTACATACTGTATGTAGAACACGGTGACATCTTGTGTCTGAGCAACATACCGTTTATGATCCTCCACCTGGATCCCTATAGAATGGAACTGAGGAAGGCCTTTAGTTTCAGTCTCAGAGTCCGTCACAGTTTCTACCTGGTAAACACAAACAACAAACACGTGCTAGTCATTGTGTTGTTCACAACTAAAATGTACAGAAACAAATAAGTACATACAAATCTAATTGTCTTCAAATCAAAGCTTGAGGTTTTGAAACTTGCCACATGTTTACAAGAAAGACATTTTTTTTTACTTTGCACAGATGATTCAAGTTTCCGTGTTTGTCTTTCAGATAGAAATGTAATAGATGTGCTTTGTTGGCTTGGACGGGGGCTCTAACAAACATCCAAAAAACAGCTCTATATTTAGATGTTTAATTATGATACCCAAAAATACAGGTGCCTTTTTAAGTGCTAAACAGGAAACATACAAAAGGCTGACACTCTCATGTCTGATACCTCATGTCTGACACTCTCATGTCTCACTCTCAATCTCCACTTTCATGTGTCCTTCATGCTCAGCAGGAGGAGGAGCAACTGTATTCTGAAACTGGTACTTTCACATTTGAATCACCAACAAAACCAATTTTATAACGGTATGAAATGACACATGGTTTGGGATATAAATGTAGTGATATCTAAGGATGTCAACAAGGACCACATTTTAGTTAAAAAATAGCCAACATTGCTCACAAGAGATGTGTGTAGGCAACAAGCAGGGTCCACACAGACAGCCACAGGACACAGTGTTAGAGCTAACAACTGAAGACACATGCCTTAAGGAGAAGGAAAGGCTAGCTAAGTGAGTCATGCACAAACACAAAACGCACAGTTCTCGATTTTGTGGTGGAGGTACTTTTTTCAGGTTAAGGCTTTTGTATTTTTAAGCCAATGCTACCAGCTAGAGTTTCCTGTTACCGAACAGCAATGTACACCATCCATATCACAAACAGAACAAACAGAAAGACAAATCTTCAAAGTCTTTTTTTTGGACCATTTCTGTATTTATTGAACAGGACAGCTGCTTAAGAGAACCCTGAGACATGGATTTACTGGGACTGGATTTTATAGGACAGCTCTTTTTTGTGTTAACTCTCAAAATAAAAGTGAGAAAAAAAATATCCTTCAGAAATTGTTAGACAGAGAACTGTGAGACACACTGGATTGGTGTTATTATCATAAAGGCAGAGTAGTGACTGAAAAGAGAGAGAGGTGTCAGGTGAGTTGTTACCTGTATACCAATAGAGGATCTTGGGGTTTTGAGGTACTCCTCGGCCTTGGACACCAGCACTGCTTTGTCGCACGTCTGGACAGAGGTGTGGCTGCCCAAAGACGCATGCCTCTTGCCTGCTGCTGACTCCATGGCCATGGTGACCGCCTTGGTGCTGTCCAGGCTGTCCATGGAGCTGTAGATGGGACGACCAAGGCTATCCGTGGTCCACAGACCGCCCCGTGGATGCCTGCCGTCGTGGTAGGCATCTTGTGTGGACTCTGTGCTGCTCTGGGCTGTCACAGAGATAAGAGGCTTGGTGGTGGTGCGCGGGGGCACAGGAGGTGGGGTCTTCTTGTAACTGGTAGGAAATGATACCGCTGGATAGCACAAGCAGGATGAGAGGACGAAGACAAGGCAAGACAAGGGTAGAGGATAAAATAAAATGTGAGAATGAAAAACGTGGCCAAAAGCTGACAAGGGCCAAAAGCTGCAGTTCACCTGGATCACACCTGGTGTGACTGAAGAGCATCAGAGCATGAGGGGAGTTTATAGTATGTGTTAGAGCACTTCAGCACTTATAGCACGAGTAATGTAAGTAAGGTGAAAACCAGAAGCAGCTTTGTAAAATGTGCCTTTATTAAGGGAGTGCAATGAAGGGTTGAGAGAAGTTTGGGTTTTTCAAGTGCAAATGAGAATCTGATGGAAAATTACCAAGATGGACCTCGAAGCAGAGTTGGAAACCAAAAAGATTCCCTTCCTTTTTTAACATTTAGAAAATCCATTAAGTTGGGGAAGGTGACAGCGTCCTAGTAAATTAATGGGTAAATAAGTAGTGGAAAAATATACTGAAGGTCAAATGTTAGTTTGTTTTTTGTTGCACAAAGCAAATAGGACATAAAAGATATAGATTGTGTTTGTTTTGATTCAACCAGTCAACCAGCATCCTCAACCGTGGAAGATACTATGAGCAGAGCTTTAGATTCATACATTTGATTATCTGGGTTATCAATGAGTTCAGATGCCATGGATGAATTCACAGACAATACTCTGAGGCTCTGACAATACTCTCAGGTTTAGTGTTATAGTCTAAATTAGAACCATAAAATGCCATTTAAACTTGTCAAGCTGAATTAAAGAGTTAATGTATGAACTTTTGTTTAAGCGATTGAAGTAATTGATTTCAAGAAGAATAGAATCAATTAATTCAAATCTGTCTGAGTATTTCATTTAAAACTTTTTTTTACATCTTAAGCACATTTGCTTTTTTTTCAATAAGAATGTTGGCATCTGTCTATAGATGACTTTATTAAATAGAACGTATAAGAAGTGGATGTGATGGACTCCTATTTTTTGTTTGTAGATGCGATTACTTCTTGAATTAATATTATTGCTTTACTGAAGCCAGACATTTTGAGGCGCCCTGAAGCTAGGGCTGGGCCTAGAGAGGCGCCCTGATGCTAGGAAAATATTAATCGGAAAAATAATTGAAACTAACACTAATTACCTCTAACCGACGTAATCTTGCCCATGAAAAAAATGAAATAATCGTTCATTAATCGTAATCGAAGTAAAATATCCAATCCATCGTGATATTGATTTGAGGTCAAATCATCCAGCCCTACCTGACGCATAACCTGCTTTATCGTCTATTTTAAAGGTCACATATTATCCTCCTTTTCAACCAGTCTCAGAGGTGCCCAAAACATGTCTGTGACGTTTCTTGTTATAAATCCACTTTGATCATTTATTTGATCATGTCTATAAACCCCTCTATTTCAGCCCTGCTCAGAACAGGCTGTTTCGGTGTCTGTACCTTTAAATATGTAAATGAGCTGTGTCTGACCACGCCCCCTCTCTGGAAGGTCTTGGCTGGCTTGGGCTTTCTTGCACATGCCCAATTATTTAATACTGATGGTGAGAAGGCAGACTCAGAGGGCAGAACAAACACATAGCTGTGTGATGGTCATCCACCTGAGGGAGGGGTTACTGCCCTTTGTGATGTCACAAAGCAAAAATCTCCAAACAGCTTGATTGAGCACACATTTTGTGAAAAGTGGAGCAGACGAAAGACAGAGAGGATGGACTTTTCTCATGATTGGGGGGCTTTGTAAACAGACTAGGGACACATATTAGTGTTAGAAAAACATGGTGAAGTGTATTTTGAATAATATCTGACCTTTAACCAAAATTAGACCCCATCTTTTTTAAACTGAGATAATGGTGAGGAAGACATGAAAACGGCAATTGAGACCATAAATGTAAAAGGAAATGTTTAATGATGTAAAAAAAAGAATCAACAAAGACATAGGCTCAATATCTCATCTGTTTCCTTACATCAGAACCTCATTGTGCAACCAGGGATCAATCCCCCTGCTGGCCATTAGATGTAAGTGTAAGCTTCCCTTTCAAACTACGAATGTCCACTTTTCAAACAAAGTGAACAAAAAGTAAATTGAAATGTTATCTAAGAAAAGGATAGGTAGAGAATAACAAACCTGTGAGATGTATCAAAGTACAAACCTTCTATACAAGTATAAGTTAATTCAAGTTTGTGCTGTCTGCAATTGATTCTGTTATTCATTAAAGTTCAGTTTACATATTGAAATAATCAACAAACTAAATACACAACTTCCTATAACAAGCTTTGTTGTGCTTTATCTACCCAGACAGGGGGTGTGTACTGCCATGAGCAGGTGCAGGCAGAGCCACACACACACACACACACACACACACACACACACACACACACACACACACACACACACACACACACACACATAAACCACTTTGGATTACAGGTAATTAAATGCATAAGAAATAAGCAACCACAGGGAATGGTGTTAAGCTAAATCCAGTAACAGACTTGACTTCTTTCCAACTCAAAGGGGCTGCAGCTCTGCAAGACACAGTGGGTGGATACTGAAATGAAAAGAGCAGAGTGACTCAGGCGGTACAAGCAACGCCACACAATCTATTTTTACACTTTCTACTCATTACATTCAAAACTGAAAACGCTACAGATTGCCTGCTACCAGATGCATACTGAATGACAAGAACCTCTCATACTCGTCTTTTTTGTCCATGGCTTCTGTTTTTTTGAATAAGCATCTTCTTTTTCAGCAGAAAATACGGTTGTGAAACTGCTGCGGTGCTGTACTACAAAAAAAGTTATGGAAATATTTGTGTACACTCTTGCTTCCTGATAGAGTTTATTTAAAGACATAGCCTACCTGTTATTTTATTTATTTAAAACATCCATTCTGTACCTGAGTTAACATTTAAATTATATTTATCTACCATGAAGTATAATCATTTCAGTATATTTGATTTAGAATAACTGAGTTCTTCTCTTTGACAGTCCAGACGAGACACCTACACATAATGCAAAACAAACTACTTTTAATCAAGCTGTTCATTCATTTGTTGGAGGGAAGTTTGACACACTTACTATTTTGACAGTGGTAATTTGAGGAAAAATGTAAAAATCAAGATTATTATCTTCTGAGATTTTAACGATTCGTACCTTCCAAAAATCGATTTTTGTTTTGGCCAATCAGTTACTCCATGCTAAGTGCTAATGCCAAATGGAGCAGCAAGAAATTCAGCCAGTCCCACAGATGACTGGAGTAGATCCTGAAGTATGTACTAATTCATAAATAGAATTTGAATCCATGAATCCAGAATTTTTTTGAAATCAAAAATAAAATAGTGACCCCAAGAATCGGAATCCAATCCAATTGTGTTCCCAGCCCTAGTGTTAATGTATCAAATGAAATAAAAAGAATGTAAAGAACAATGTTACTTCATAGCATATCAAGTAGATACTAAAATAGATGGTGGTGATAAGTAGAATAAAACTATTTTATAAAAAAGGATTTGTCTTTATATCTTTGTCTTTTTTGGTTCTCTTCTGTGGAAGAGGCCGGGGCTGCACACCTGCTGGTATGTGTCACAGTGGAATGACAGCAGAACAATGAAAAGCTAATGCTTCACAGAGATTGTCAGCGAAAAATGTGAACTTTTGTTGGTGCTGCGATGTTGATGTCATGGGGTCTCGCAAGCTTTCCACTCGTCTTCACAGCATAAATGTTCTCAGCGAATAACAATGAGTCACAGCACAACGTGAAACTAATAGACCCAAAAGTGAACAGTCACATCACAGAAGAAGTAATGAATGTGACTGTACTTGCTCAGTAGGGTAATGACTCTAAATGAGCCCATTATCAGACTGGAAGTTGAGTCAGCAGCACACAGTTTTCTGCTATCCAGTCATTTTTTTTTCCTATGCTTTCTAAATGGATTGGCATTTGTAAACACATTTGGTGCCTTACACGCCTACATTTAGGTCCTTTGCATAATTACACAATTATTTGCCGAGGTTAATGATGTTTAGGGAAGACATTTAATATGCTGACTTCTCATGGGCTGTCATATCAAAACATAAAATACTTCTCAGAGAAGTGCCTGATTCAATCTGAGAAAAAGAAAAATCTCAATGAGTTGCCATTACATCTACTAGACACCAGATGTCCTCCTACAGACTATAGAATCAGATAGTCAGAGTGTATTAAAGGCAATACTGGGTTTTGTCAGTGGATTAAGATAAGGCATTTCAGTGTATGTGCATTTTTAATGATTCTCTCTTTATTTAAAAGTTAATTTCTAGGTTTTAATCTGAAACTGCAAGAAGTGCTGGAAGGGTAATTTTGAACACAACTAAGTGTGGACATTGATTAGAGCAGTGGTCACATGTAGTCTGGTACTGAACACTACAACCATTTTTAACTTAATCTATCAGTAAAGTATTCATACAATCTTATACATATTTCTATTTCAATCATTTCAGAGAGATGTTCAGTGTAGTAATTTTCCTTCAAAACATTGTGTTTGACATCAACAGCGGTCAGTTAGTTTTGCATAAAAGGCATAATTCATATTCTTCAGTGTAAAGGTTATCTACCAAACATTTTCCTACGTTCCTACATTTTTTTACACATTTCAAACACACTTGACAAAGATTCAGAGGGACCGAAACATGATTTTTCTAATAAATTGGTGATACTTAGCAAGAGTAGTGTGCAGGATTTTTTCTTTTCAAGTAATAGTTTGTACTATTATGCACCTTCCTTATGAGATAGTTGGATGTGCAAACACCTCCTTAAAATACATTTCAATAGAACCTTGATTTTATGTACAGTCAATTATTTTGGAAACTTCATCAACTACACAGAATTTTCAGACCATCAGCCGAAAGCATCTTCGTGTACAGAAGACATATACATTTGGGGTTATGTGATAATGGCAAGTGAAAGCTATACAGTAAGTGTTTTGTAATCTCAAGACTAAAATGACAAGTCATCTAGTACTATGTGACTTACCTACGACTGTGTTCTGAAAAAGAAATGTTGTATCTGCTCCAACAGAAGCATTGTAATTTTTAATTAATAATGGAATTCACAATTAATTCCAAAAACAGAGTCAAACATCTCTGCACCTCGAGGACTTTTAACTTATTTAAACTTTCAGGAAAAGTTTTGTATTTGCGCCAAAGGATTTATAAAACTTTCCTAACTCATACCAGACTTTAAAACAACACATACTAGCTTATAGTTTCATATCTGAGTTCAGGCAAAGATATTAAAAAAAAAAAAAAAAAAAAAGAAGATATTTCCAGAACAGTGCACAACCAAAAGATGTAAAATAACTTCCTATCGGATTAAAGCTGAAGGTCATTTGTCTAGACTTACTTTAACATTCTGCACTGACATTAAAACATTACACAGGGAATTACAATGCAAAAGAGGAAGAAAATCCCGTCTTCACACTGACACTACACCCTCAATAATCAATAACACGATGCAATCACAAGATCCATCCCACTCTCCCCACCCACATATGAGACCCAGAGTTCAAGACACTGCTACATAATAATCAACATACTTTGACAGCCCTTCAATCAACTCAATCAATTCCTGAGAAGATGTACAACTTGAGAGAGAAAGTTAACATGGAGAAATGCAGATGCCAGGGTTTCTTTTGAAATCTACAACCAATTGGCTGAAAGTTTGGCTTGAATATATTAGCGCAGGGGAGCATCCTGTCCTTTGTGAAGTCAGTTGTTGCTGGCTTCCTGTGTTTGAATTTGAATGTTTGGCTTAGCACTGCTGCACTGGGCAGTTCAGTAAACAAACCCACACAGTGGAGGCGCAGCCAAGACTAGATGGCCCTGAATGTCATGCTTTGAATATGTGTTGCTGCTGTGCTAAAATGTATTTGTGGATAAAAGTAAACAGTAAGGAACCTGTTTAAATGCCATTCAGCATGTTGACATGTCATCAGCACCTGCAGCTCAGAGGCAGGGACGAGCTTCTGTGTCAGACAAAAAGAAGTAACAACATATGCACAATTTATCTTCATGTTATCTCCTCCCACAGCCACACCATCCTCTTTTAGATTTGCCTACACGTAGGCCTATATGCGTCCTCTGGGCTTTTTAAGATCTATGATATCAATTGATTGATAAATATAATCAAACACAACTGCGGCATTGAGTGGCAAAAACTGCATGCTTGCTCTAGCTGAATCAATTGCCTATATACAGATGAAGGATACAACAGAAGTGACTCAGGGACTTTTTACCTTCATGGTGTCAGAGTTGAGCCTCAATCGCTTAATGGCGATTGAACGTTCAAAAGCCTTGAGATGTTGAAGAGCGGACTGAGGAGGTCGAGGTGCACAAAACATGCACGATATTGTTCAACCTGCTGAGTATTACAAAAAATAAGCGAACACATGACAGTAAATCTGTTAAAATCAAATATTTTTAACCCATGGAGTACATAAGTCTTCCAGTCGGCGGCTCGTAAGCTACGTCAAGCTGTAATGTTAGCGCCAATCCAACGGTTACAGGAGACGAAACGACGCAAGTGGTCACAGCAGTTTGAAAAATAAGCAATAATATTTAGCAATTTTAGCTGGTATAAGTCAGCTTCAGCTCAGAAGTTAAGAGTTGAATCTTATCAAAATGAGGGCTTCACTTAGGTTGTTCGGAGTTTACAGGACGTTTGATATTAAGACGTATTTCCAATCGTGCAACCGTTAAAATGTGAACTGGCGCAGATACGTTAGCAACAAACAGACGCTGTGTATTCAAGCTCTGTGAATGTATGCCTAATGAATGTATCGAGTTGACGTCAACATAAGGCTTTTCAAATCATGCCATATTTGTTTTACTATTAAACTTGACTTTTTGAAAAGTGTTTTCATTCTTTATTTTAAAATAGGCAATATAAAACGTGTGAAACAATAGCTGTTAGCACAATAGCTTTTGTGCTAACAGCTCTAGCATGAATCCTACTAGTTTATTGTAGCTTATTATGATTAACCAAGGAGAAAAACACTTTGATTGAATTTTTCCTTCTCTCTTCTTTTAGTAACATTGCTGGAGCCCCTTTGCTTCACCCATGGATGTATGACTGCAACTGAAATGCTTTTGCAAAGAGAAGAGCCTGCATGGGGGAAATAAGAAGAGATGGAGGCCGGCTGGTACCTGGAGGTGGCTGAGCGCGGTCCACACTGCACGAAGTAGGGAGACGAAACTGAATCCCTGCAAGGAGCAAGCAGCTTGTGTTAGAAAGACAGACCCAGGTAATCAACGCACTAATGCACATTTTCATTTGATTAACTTACCAAATCTACCACAACTAACTCCAAGAGGTATACAACTTATTTAAAACATGTTTTTTTTTTCTCTTAGCTCATCTAGTCAATCAGGGTTGGGCAGGGAAGGAAAGAAACACAGATATGCTGGATTGTCAGTATTAACATTTTCCTCAATGCTTAATGTTCATCACTGAACGCACAGGCTTATGATTTCAGTTGAGTGAACTACATTTACATTTCTTCTCTTACAATTAACAACATCTCTAATTCTTATTCCTGGGCAACGTAAATCCAGCAACTACTTTGTGTTTTTCCTAAGATACAGATGATCAAAGATCGCTGGCAACAAGTTTTAAATAGTTTTCAAAGTTTCTTCTGTTGCACCTTCAAATATATTTTTTTTAAACATTTAATTATGAGATCAACAACAGAATAGCAGAGTTCAGCTCAGTAGTGTTAAGCAACAAGAAAGGATGACGGTTTTGAAAATCAATATTTGCCAGAAATGTTTTGCCAATCTGCATTTCCCTCCTCTGTTGACATGTATCATGATTAATTATCAGGCTGGGCTCAACAGATAAGTCATTCTTATACTCAAACAGTCACCATGAGATAACATCTGAACATATAGGGCTAAGCCTTATCATCTATCCAAAAAAAAAATACAAGTAGGACACAATGAAGAAATCATAAAAACATAAATATGAACACAAAGTCTATTTTAGAAATTGGGATTTAATAAAACTACGTAAAATAAAGCCAATTAACAAAGTTATAACGTAAAAGAATAATTAAATTTTAAGCATAGTCTCCTTGCAGTACAGGGTGTCTCTTGAGAGAGGCACAGAACATTATTATTTTTTTTTTCACAACAAAAATGTCATGTAGAGACAAAAGACAATAATTATCAACAGCTGAATAAGACACTCTACAATCAAACGCCACAAACAGGAGCTTCAATGGAACAATTCCAGTGCGGGTCAAATTGCGTTTTTTGTAGAGATAGCAGAAATGAAACTTAAACAGTAGTTAAAGCGAATAAGAAAAAGATGTGCCAAGTGACCTAGAACATGTTTTCTCTCTTTTTTTTTTAAACCGAAGAGGAAGACATTAGTGGACTGCCTCTGATGGTGTGACAGTCTAGTATATGGATAACCATTGCATGCTTGATTGTAGGACGTGGAGTTTTTTTAAGGTAACATTTTCAACATTCCCATTTTTCAAACTCACTAATACCGAATGGGCACGACCAACCTACATATTTCTAAAACCAATGTACTTCTTTTAAAACCACATTTAATATAAGAGGGCATGAGATTAAGCTATGCTTTACATAAAGTGCAAGTGCGCCACTTCACTTCAAATGTGGTAATTATGTGATAAGTTATATATTTTTTTCTCATTTCAGAATTCGCAGCCTGTTGCTGAGCTTCCAGAGCAATAAATGTAGGAATTTGATAAAAAAAATGTTCTATACAGACTTAATGTAAAGCATGACCGCATATCATTTTAGAAAAGTTTTTAACAGACCTTCACTCTTGTGCTTTTTCAAAGAGGCCTCTCAAACCTTTTGCTCCTTTGTGGTCAACACGTAAATTTCAGAAAAGTTCTGATAGCGTCTTCTCTCCGAAACGACTCCCTCCATTTGTGCCAAGAGGCTGTTCTTGATATAGTTGTGGACTCAGACTGGCAAAGAGGCTGGTGAGATGCCGTTCTTACTCGGATCAGGGTAGATCGAGGCTTAATGACGTGCAATGGACTGACGAGCTGTGCACATGAGCATGGGGGCTGAAGATGTGATGAAGTGAATGTGGATTCTAACAGCTCTTGTTGTAACACTAAGTTTTGTTTGACTCTCGACGTTATCACCATGGAAACAGACTTGCTCTCAATCATAACTAGTTTCTTGTTGCAGTATGATCACTTTTCTCTCTTTGAATAGTTTCTATTCTGTCAGAGCAGTTCTACATAAAATAAACTTGCATTAAAGTAAAGTTCATGAAGTTAAAGTTGCTTGGCTTTTCTTACTTACTGTAGTTATCCATTGTATTAGTAAATTGCCTGTATACAGTAGAGATATATTCCAGACACACAAGTAACGATAGTCTTACTGATGTGCAGATTTCTTTTTTAAATAAATTGCCTTTTGGTTTGAACATTTTCTGTCTGAAGTAAATCCTTGTCTTAATCTTAATTTCCCTGATCAACTACACTTCTCTTTAGTGTATGCTATGACAACAGACGTAGCCTCAGGGATTATTAATTACTTAATTTATCAAAAAGATCACTTCTTTGTAAAATACCTACCAACCAGCATTAGCATATATTTCCCAACAGTTGTGAAGATATTTCCTCAGGTCGAGGATTGAGCTCTGGCATGGCACTAGTGGTTTGCATAGATCAATGAGAGCATGGATTGATGAATGGATGAGTTCATGGATGTGTGATTTGACATAGGACAACTAGCAGAACTTGAGTATGTGTACGTCAGTATTTCCAGCTGATTGGACTGGATTTACATACTTTTAAAAAGTAGGTTTGTGTAGCTTTGTTTCAAAAAGCTGTACAGTAAAACAAGCATGTTTGTTATAGGCACATACATATATACATACAGTGGTGATGCCCCCATGGATGCAATGTGGATTAACCTTTTATGTATGATACATCGCAACAAACCAATACAAATCAATGTACTGACAATATTTTGTACAAAATCTCTTTTCATTGCCTTTACACCAGTGATAGAGTAGTGGTTAGCATCCCAAATAAATCTGCTTAAGATCAACCAAAAAGAGACGCAAAAGGATCTTTAAACCAAACAAGATTTTCCTGAATAAATTGAATCTGAAAATGCAATTCTGATTGTTAAATTCCCGGTGCAAGTTTTCAGAAAATTCAAGCAAAGCTGTCAAATCATTAAATACATGTGGAAGTCATGGCCTGATGGTGGCACTACAGGAAAGGTCATGACTTCAACATTAAAATGATAGATTGATATGTAGGGTTCAAACAGTCTTTTCTATGTAACTTTTGAACCAACAACAACTGTGACACCACTGGATATCACCATTAATGAGCTTTTCTGCTAGCAGCTGCCATTAAGGTGACCTTTCTACGAAACAGAAGTGTAAGCTGAAACTGTACAAAGAAGTATAAACATTTCTTTGTGAGCAGACCTTTTTAAAATACACTTCAGGCCCACAGTTAAAGAGTTGTCCAGAAGAGAGACAGACCGCTCTCTTGGAACTATTGTAATACCCAATACATAGGAAGAATACTACTGTATGTAAGAGTCTGTGTAGACGTCATGAAAAGATTAACTTGTCAATTACTTCATACGTAGAAATAACAAATGAACACATTCTTGGAAGCTAAAATCTGCAACATGTGCTTGGTTTAAATTCAAACCCATCACCTAACACCTTTTTGAATGTGAGTTTATAGAAGGATTGTATTTCTCCTTTCTTGCTGAATCATGCTTCCGTTGTTGGATCACATTACTAATAACAGTATAACAATACTCTTATTAAAAGAAGCCTTCTGATACGCCAGAAATGTGTCTTCAATTTGAGCACATAGAACAGGTTGTAACTAGAACTACATGCAGCATTGATTTGCGGTGGTTTGTAGAACAAAGCTGTTATGTTGGCCATAACCTGCCTTGCCACATGCTAGGATACATAAAATAAAGACACTACATTATGCTGAGTTTATGCCCCTCTGTTCGCTTAAAACAATGTATACAATGGTTAAAGCAAGAGGTTGAAACAATACTAATACCAATGAATTTGAACAGAAGTGTAATATTAAAACATAATAACTCAAAACAAATCAAATAAATCATCGAATGGACTGTGTAGAGATCAAGACCTCTCAGTTAAGCTGTGTTCCAGGTGTGTTAAAATGGAACAGTTGTTTTTGTTACTCACTCTGTTCAAATGCAGTAGATGTTGACAAAAATGCCAGTGTGCTAGCCAACAAGTACAAGGCCAACATGTACATATGTAGGACAGTAATATGTTTTGTTTTCTTGTTAAACTCCTTATCTCAGTGCTATGAACATTATCTGGAGAATCCCACTGGATTCAATGTTGAAACAGATGAAAAACATTTATACATTTATGTATTATACATACTGAGTGAGTACAATGGTATTATCGCTATAGCTTATTTTAGTGGGAAATGTTAATGAGTGAGACAAAATGTATGAAAAAGTTTAGAAACAACATATAAAAAAAGATATAATAAAAACGGTTCCCTACCAGACCTACCGTACTCTCTACGCCCCCCAGCTAAGCTACGGATGCCTAAAATGGGGGGAAATAGAAAATAGAAAACAAACAAAAAACAAAAAGATGATAGCTTAGTATAAAAGCAATGCATATTGAGAGGGTCAAAGTAAAAGACACTGCCTTGGCCCATGCTGTGTATTTGTGGTCTGATTGTGTGGGTGTAGTTATATGGACTGAAGTTCTAGCATTGATGCTTTAAGTGACTTTTTTCTTTGGATGCTATTGTAAAGCTATGACCCCCATTTTTTGAGATTTGAATCGTCAAAAACATAATCATCGTAAACAATTTAATCCATTGTTTTATATCAATTTATGAAAAATACATAAGGCCAATAAAAGTTAAATCATATTTCACAAGAAACACCACAAGAAGCCCAAAACAAAAAACCCAAAAGCATCACATCATCCACTTAACAGAAGGAGCAGAAGCTAACAAATGCAGGCTCAACCATGGTTTTCAAAAGAATTCTTTATAACTTGACAAAATCTGAATCACTAAACAATGTTGTCTGAGATCCCTGAAAATTGCAACATGATTGATGCAAAACAGAGTATCGTGTCTTCTAAAAAAAATAAAAATAAAAATAAAAAAAAGGAACCAAAACAAAGAAATGCAGGAATAGAACAAAGGGGTAGAAAAGGGTTTATAATCACGCTGTGTTACAGGTTCAGGTGAGATCTGAATCCATCCAAAAACCTTTGATTTCAATCGCTGGATGTCACAGAGTTGGCACAGTTGTTGCATCAGATCTCTGGTTAACATAACAATGTAAACAAAAGTCAAAGGGTGTTTTACTACATATTTCTGTTACATATTAGATAGACAATTTTGAATTTCTTACAAATAATTATATATTTCATTTCACAAAATATGATTGCATGGTTCAAAAATAATTGTAAATACCCTTTTTCTATGTCTTCATCATTCTCTGTTGAATGTACATAATTCACGTGTATATTATACTTAGATCTGTATTTTTGCTACATTTAAACTTGTTTTAAGGGAAGGTTGAATTCTTTGGGCTGACTGATGAAATGCTAACAACAACAAAACTGTTATAAACATATTTATACAGAAGCATGGGTGAGTAGCATGGCTTAATTAATCACCACTTCGCTGTGCAATTGGATCTGATTTCAGAAAATGTCAAGCATTTGTACAGCTTTCCCAATTCTATTGGCACAGGCTTTGTTGTCTAATTTTTCTGTAGTCCGTAAATGAAATGTCAGTGAGTTTTACACTCATGTTTGTTCTTTTTTTTTTTCGTCACAAAGCACACAGATGCTACTACCAAGCAGGAATCTTAAGAATTTCCCCAACAAACTCTTTTGATTCTGGTGTACATATAACCTGACATGGGCGAAACGTGAATGACACTACTTACACACCAAAACAACCTTCAGTGTGCCCTGTGGCTCATGCAAAAATATTTAAGTAAAATAAAAGAGCCACCTGTATTTTCTGAAATAGTCCATTCCTTGCATTGATGGCTTGTATGAAGGCTTAACAAAAACACCTAATATCTATCACTGCAAATATTGAGATTAGAGGAAAATAAAACGGAGAACAAAGGACTTGCATAGAATGAATGAATGTAGATTGGAGACATCATGATTAGCCAGTCTTCAGCACCTTTTAATTAGTTTGCATTCCCGAAATAATGGGAACATACTGTATGTACGTAAGGAATGCCTCTGCAATTCCATTAATAATTCAAAAAGCAAAAGATATGAATACAAGCCTTTCCAAATATTTTTTTTATTTATATTGTATATATATATCTGTATATGAAAGAAGTATAGGCTAAATGTTGTCACAGTCATATGCCTTTCTCTGAAATCATTTTAATATGCTAACCCAGCTTTTGGCTGGTCTGTGATGGAAAACTTAAAGTTCTTTTGATTGGAATGATAACGACAATATATAGATATTACGCTTTTTAAAGATCTTAATCTGTATTGCAAATGGTGGATAAGGGCAACAACCGATTTGAACTTTTACCAACACCTCAAAACGTTGTTCTGAGTAATAGAGTTGCTGTGAAAAATTACCAGCAAAACAACTCGATATAGCTTTTCTCTGTTACACACAAGATTATCAAGGCAAATACATTTTCAGCTAGGCATTTTGGATCAGGTTGACTGAGAAACAATAACAGGTGTGTGGGAAGGAGCCAATGCAATACCTGAAAAGGAAATGTCTGTCTTTTTTTCTTTTTGTGGCTTTAACACCAATTTTGACCTTACCTCTTGTTCAACCTTTGTATAAATACCATTTTTTCAAAGTGCCACTTGTTCTGCAAGTGTTGTCTTTTGGTCGTGCAAAGGGGCAAGAAGATTCACTCACTTTAGAAAGTGAGAGATGACGCCTTTCCTTTTTTTTTTAAGTCCTCTTGAAAGGTTCACATTTCAGTCAGGGGTCTGTTACATACAGGCTTTCCATGGTCCTGTGCTGCAGTGATCATCCAGAGACAAGTGCTTTCAAGCTGGGAGATGTTTGCTGTTGGCCTCATATCCATAGGCTTGTGTATTTACTTTGGTATGCAATGTTGGGACAATGGAGTGAATGAATGGCTGAAGGGAATGCCAGTTCATAACCAGCTACTTAATTTGAACAGCATAAAGAGTAATTAGCTTAATATAGTACATGAGTAAGGGCTCCGACCCATTAAGGTTCAACAGGAGCCCAGCTAAGCCATCACTAGTGAGGCGGTGTTAGTACATTCAGTGGTACTATACTGCAACTCAGGGGACATGTCGGAGAGGTAGTGGCCCTCTGTGGCTCTGATTGTCTACTTATAGACCAATGTTTCTCTGTTGTCTTTCAGCAGTGATGAACCAAACCAGCATGAAATGTGTCCAATACTAGATAGAATATGGAATTGATAAAGATCAATCTACTAGAACTTAGTCCAAATCTCTTATTTACCAGAATGATGACTATGGTACAGTTTTTGTTGGACTTTTACCCCTAACATAAAAATGAATGGATAGAAACCAATAAGATAGAAACTTTAAACAACCAATTAATAAACTCAAGTCACTCACCACTGCATGAAAAACAATAGGTGAAACACTGGCACGAACTACCAACTTCCTTATGAGGTGCATTAACAAATTGGTGATGAACATGATGAACAAATGGAGCCAGACCTCAAAGACTCTGAAAAAGTGCTGTGTTTGGTTTACCACCAAAATTAGTACTATTAACCCTCTCAGTGCTGTCAGAAATCAGTATGTTTATCACAGCAAACAGTACAAGAATTGAATATAAGTTTCTATATATACAAAATGGTACATTTATATACATATACAGAATTTGAAAATGAATCAGTTTGTGCAGGAATGAATTGAAGCCGTTACATTCATACTTCACAACCACTGTTTATCTACTTACTTTTTTTCCATATATTTGCTGTTAGACTAAGAAGTCAGTCACAAACTATTCATCGTAAACAATTTAAGCCAGGGACTATGTCCTCAAAGCCTTGAGACAGTGTCATCCAAACAGTATTCCAGTGGATTTGGCTGTACCAAATGTAATAGGGGTTATTATAAGTTTTGTCAGTACTATCTAAAAAAAAAATTAAAAAAAAACTATTACAGTAACTGCTTTATACTGTTTCACAAGTACGACATTGAAAAACATTTTAATTGAATTTCTCAAAATGGCCACTTCACCTGGAACTGGCTACGAATGTATGAAGGCCATGACAAAGGAATGCTTAAATTGAAATAACTAAAAACAAAATGATATGACGATAGATTCATAGATTATGCTCATATTATAAGTCATCTTTTATGCATTCATTATAAAACTAGGGTTTATAAAGTTATTCACAGTATTTTTTCAGTGTACTCAGGTGCTTAAGAGAATGTTCCGTCATGACGAGAAACTGGAATGAATATTAGCTATTCAAATTATCGTACAGAAACAGACAGACGTATGCCCCATCTTACAATGGCTGATTATTGAGTTTTTCTTTAGAAAGACCTTCAGATTTCTGACCATTTTGCTTAAATTGACTTCTTCTGAAGGTGGGATGTTTAAGACAATGGAGGGAACATGATGTTGCCCTTGTTGGCACTTGAGGATCTGTACATCGGCCACTATTTCTTTCACATTCTCTCCACCTCACTCAGGTGTAAACAAACCATTCGCTTTTATTCAATGGCTAAGCAAGACACTTGTTAAAAGATTGCTTGAACAACATTTTGAAACTGTTCAAGAGATGACAGACTATGTGTCTGCATAGAGTAAAGGGACATCTAACAACAGCACTGGCCTGTCTTTCTTGGTAAAGGTCAGGTTTTATCCCCGGCCTCCTCATCTCATTTTACCGTATGCGAAGAATGGGAATGATTAGAATGACATAGACAGATATGACATGGGCCCGCTTGTGTACTTTCTGCTCCATAGTTCTAGACTGGCGCTCCTGTGTCCACCTGTGTGGCATCCTGTTTCTGGCTGCTTATGAGGCTTTTGCTTTTTGATGATCTCCCATGGGAAGTCCTCTATTGGAAGTGGGCTGGCAGGGCTGCCAGACCCCTCTGGGGTGGTCTCAGGGGTTCCCTCTATGATCTCAATTCGGGGGGGTTCCATCAAATCCATAATGCTGAATGGTGCTGGCTCTGGTTGGCACATCACTGACTTGTCCTCTTTATTCTGTCGAACTGACCAACTTGAGCCTGCTTGGATCCCTATAGAGACTCTGTCATCTGTTTGTGTCATGCTGTCACTGCAAGGTTCCCGGCACAAAGTCCACATGTTATAGCACTGAGTAAAGTTGAAGAAGTTGCTATTGAAAGTCTTTAATTCCCCACAGACATCTCTACGCAGCTCTGCCAGCTCATAACGCATTGCCGAGATTTCATCCTTCCATTGCAGGTTGAAGGCAGCAACCATGTTGGCAGACTCTTTAAAGGCCTGGATGGCCTGAGGGACCGGTGGCTCAGAGGATATGGGTGATGCAGAAGGGACCCTGTATGAAGGCGGGGATGCCGGTGGGACAGAGATGGCTGTTACGGTGGAGCTAGTACTGTGGTGGCTGCGAGCAGCAGCAGTCTCTCTCTCCAGCCTCTCCAGTTCTGCATATGCAGAGGAGCTAGCACCATCATCATCCTCTATCATGTCTTCATTTAGTAAAGAGGTCCCATCCAAAAGATCATATCCCTCTGGAAGAAAAATTTGAATATGCAAACAGAAGGACATTCAAAGTGAAAGGAACAGCTGGAGTAAAATATTTGTTTTGGATTCTGAACTAGTATAACATATATCTATGGATCACTTACAGTATGTGAGTAGCAAGGAATTTCAATAACAGAAAATCAGGTCCAAAGATATTTATATATCCAAAATATTAAAGGGTTAAAGGGATAAGGGTTAATGGTAAGAACACTATATGGGCTGGTGCCATTAAATTGAGACTATGTCTGCTCATGTATTGTACAAAACCAAGAGGTAACTGAGTAGTGTCATAAAAAAAGATGGACCCATCTGTCCAGTTTTGGTAAATCTGAAGTGATTTGTTCTTTGGGAATCATCCAAATTGTTTTAGAAATTGCTTTGAAAGGTCAGATTGAATATATGGTGCTTTTTACCAGAGCCAATACAAAATACAATATATATTTTTTAAACAAGACTTACATACCTCAGCTTAACTAAGACCACAATGATTTTCTTTTAAACTCACATACTGTAGGCTTTTCACAATGTTTTTACACTGCCTTCTCAGTCATTTCAAGGCTTCTTTCCATCTTTTCACCGCACAGCACAGCAAAGAGTGGAATTAATTGAAACATACATCAAAGATGATCAAATCATAAATCCATTTTCTTGGAACCCTTTTCTCAAAACATATCAAAATGTTTCTCAGTGACTCAAAATTTGTGCCATTTTGTGCAAAAGAAAAGATGTAAAGGGAGTAGAGGAATCACAACCTACTGGGCCAAGAAGCAGATATGAACCCTATTGAACATATCAGGTCCAAGGTGGCTAATTAGACCTTGTAAAGTAAGTAACCTGGTAAGGGGAGGGTTCACTCCCCCTTCAGGGCTGCACCAGGGAGAGGCTGCAATCCCACAGTCAAACACAGCTGACAGACTCAAAACCAAAGGTTAGACTTTTGCCACATGGCCTTTTAAAAGAAGTCAGATTTTCGTGGAAAGAAAAAGTAATGTTCACACATTTATAGCAGACGTATGCTGCTCTCACAGATGATTGGAGACAGTGGCAATGTAACAACATTTAATGCTATTTTATGGATACGATATGAAAACATTCCAAAAAGTCTGTTATACATATACACCTACAATGTGGTTGAAACACACTTAAAATAGAGACATGGTTACCAACTCACAAAAGCCAGTTTTACATTCAGCCTTGTAATCAATTTTCAGGGGTGTCAAGATTTTAAGAAATAATTTTTTTGGAGGTTTTGTGAGTTGCTTTGAACCAAGTTTGCTACTTAGGATAACAATGAGATATGTCTACCGACTTTAATGATACTCTATCTATTATTCTTACTGAGAAGGCAGTGCAAAAACACACATATACATAGATATATGTATGCGTGTCAACATTAAAATACCTGCAACAATCATCCCTGATGCCTCCAGTTGTTCTTTCCCCCTGGTTATCCTTCAAGAGATGGATGGTCAAATGGAGAGGGGTTTGCTGCTTGTCTGCCCTACGGAGCATGATGGGATCCCTTACCAGCTCAAGCGGCCACTAGCCTCACACTGGGTTAGGATTTATTAAAACTACTAGTGAGTTCTACCATTTAAACAGGATTTCTCTAATCTGTTTTGTTCAAAGTCAAGATAGCTGGGATGACTTGCTAAACTTAATAACTTGAACCTACTATTTCATAAGAACAATGCAGAGATTACACCAGAGGAGAGATATTACTTACAGTACGGCTTAACATGGAGATGACAATGTACTATTTCTACTCACCATCTAGGGAACCCTTATTCTAGGTTGCTAAAGCCTTATCTTAAAAATGTAATTGATACATCATGCCAGTATTGAAAAATACAACTTAATAACATTGTTTTTACAGTCAACTGCTTTAGTCCGTATAGAGATGATAGATTTGGAGCAGAGAGCTAAATGAGTAGAGTTCAGCAAATAAGACAGTGGGATTGGAGAACACTCCTATATCCTCAGTACTTCAGTCACATCGAAGAAATCATAGATGGAAACCCAACTGAAGATGAGGGGATTCCAAAAACAAATGTCCAGATTGCACAAGAAAACAAAGCCCACAAAATGAATTAAAGAGCAATTGTCTCCAATATTAAATTGACAGAAAAATGTTCAAGATCAACAAAAGTCCAGGTCAGGTCATACATTTTTGAAAATGCATTATTAAAAAAAGGTTTCAATAGGGTTCATAGCTTTACTCTTGCATCTAAACACCAAAATGAACTTAGTGAGGGAGTAACTGCAAAGACTCTGCTTGCACAAAGAACCTAGGGATATAGTGATCGCACTGTGTCGCATAAAACCTTGAATTTCTTGCACTTTGTAATAAAACAAGCATTTGATACAAATTAATATGTGAAAGTTTCGTCAAAATGTGCTGTTTTCAGGAAAATCATTTTCAAAACATGTCTACTTTGTGGTTGTTTTAGTTAAAAATGAAATATAACCATTAAAGTAGTGTTGCTCAATGGAAACTTGCAAATTAAGTGGACAGTGATTGAGAAACTTCAGTAAGTCATGCAATAAATGGTACATGCCATTCACAAGTTATTTTGACTGAGGTCACAGCTCTCAAGCTTTATGCAACACACTACAACAATAGTTTAGGTTATTCTATGAAAACTTAATGAGTATATCCTCATTGGACAGCTCCTTTGTGCAACCAGCACACGTGTGTGTGTGTGTGTGCAGGTGTTCCAGTCCCTAGAGGTTGTTGACTTACCTTAAATTGGTATCAAGATAGATGTTGTTTTTTTAGATCAATCACAATGTCATTGGCAAAGCATATGCTAGTTTATTGGTTCAACAGAGCAGGGGAAGGACAGGCGGAAAGGTTTTCAACTGTATCCTCCAATCACAAACATGTCAATAACCTACCACTACTGCCCTACCCCTGGCCCGTTTCTGTCTTCATCCCTCCCTAAGTAACTCGTACGCTTGGCACAACACATGTATAACACCACAGTTTAACATGCTTAGGGTAGGACCTGTTCCTTTTTTAAGGCATGCTTTGAAATGTGGCTGTGCTGTGATGCAAATTGGTGTACGGTGAGATTATGTTGTTGTCTGAGTGTTACTGTGACCCTCCCACCCTTGTCCTGGTCTACAGCTTGGCACCAACACAAGTGACCAACCAGAAGCTTGGCTAATGATGCATGAATCGTGCACAATAACACACAAGCAAATTCCATCCAAACAATCGGTAGTATGCAGAGGCAAAAACAAACACACGCACATCATAGCCTCTGAGGAAAATAACTGGAGTCATTCAGCCCGGCATCTCTGAAGCTCAAGGGTTCCCCACTGTACATATGTAGGTATGTCAAGTTTGTGCGCATGTATAGGATGTATGAGGATATGTTGTCTAAGCCCTCTCTCATTTAGGGGGGGAATTGTTTTACCTGTTGTGGATCTGAGAGTTGAAGTGACAGTGGAGGATGTCATTGAAGGCAAGCAGTCGTCATCTTGGGAATAACCAGCCTGAATAGCACGGAGGTAACTGTGGCTTCGAGTGCGGAACGAACCAGGCAGGTCCAAAGCCTCCATGGCCTGGGATTCTACTTCACTAAAAACGGACTCGCAAACTGACTCAAACTGGCCATTGATCTCAGTCTCACTCACCTGAGAGACAAAAACAGGAATAGCAGTCCTTAATTTTTCCTCTTCCTTTCTCTTTCTCACTTTGATTCTTCCCCTTTGCACAGCAAATATGAAGGAGTGTTAGCATAAGGAAATGCCACTGTCAATTCCGACCTTAAACTGAATAAATGTCAAGATCAAATGAAAGAAAAGGGCAAAAGACAACAAATAGCAATCAGAAAAATATTCATTTTATGTTATAAAGCATTTCAATCACCACATTTGCCAGGAAAAAGATTTACTCTACTGTATACTGTATTTATATGCTACATGGAAAAAAGGTAAAATATGCTTATTTTATCCTCTAGCAGTTGTCAGTATCTTCGGAGTATTCAAACATCTACTAGCTGACACAAAATGAATTCTTAACATTCAGATCATGCAATAAAAGCCTTTCACTATAAAATGAGCTCAATATAAAGTTCCATATCCTGTCGTGTCCCCTCCTGCACTTTGTTAACATAACCTCACCTCCCGCTTATTTCTGTTTGTTTAACATACTAACTTGTGTAATAAAACATACAAGTCCTGCTTTTGTTTCAGACCTCTTGTTACTCCTTCTCAATATGGAGCCTTTACTGCAGTGTCACAACTCCTCTGTTCAACCATGTCTTGTGCCACCATGGAGGTCCAAAACAGACTTGAACAACTGATCCAACTGTATAGATACATAACATGGTATGAGAAACGAAGAAACCTGAAAAAGTTGCTGTGTTAAGTTATGTTAGACATTTCGTTTCTGTGCCTTATCGCTTTTTGAAAACATGAGTTGTAGTTTGACAAAAAATAACATATGACTGCCCAACATTGGCTTGCCTCAACAACAGGACAACGACAAATTATTGCCAAAAAAATCAAGTCCTCAGACTCTGATGTAAAACTGGTATCTCAGTTTCTCAAGTAGTTAGTTACTCTCAACTAAGTATTAAATAAATTCAAAACCAAGAAACCCTTCCTCAAAAAAAACAGTTTATAACATTGTACTCTGTCTGAAGCTAAGGTAGACGATAGGTTGAAGCATTAATAACTTGTGCTAAACAAAACTAAGTAAATATTCTTGTTGTCTTGTGACAGCTAAGCTTACGTCTGCTAAAGAAAATCAGCTGTGGACCTCCAAGAGGGACACCTGTTTATGTTTTTGTCTTTATGTCATTCCATCTGGACAAAGCTATACAAAACAGCATAATAAATGTTTTTATTTAGGCTTTTCAGGTGCTCCTTGGTGTGATGAGTGTGTTTGAGACTCACCTGGCTGACGCAGCTAGCCTGACTGAGGGTGCTGACGGCACGCATGTAGCTCTGGTTGCGAGACCGGAAGGGTGGGGGATGAAAAGTGGCAGGGTCCAGCGTGACACTTGGGTGGGGCCGCATATCCCTGGTTTGCAAGTGGTAGCCCTGGCTGAACAAGGACAGGGGGCGGGGATAGATACCATAATTCAAAAGCAACACGTGGAACTGTGCTCGGTGACTCTGTGCTTATTACTTCTATCAATGGGAAGAAATATCTTTTTGGGTGAAATTCATTTAGGTTCCAAAATGAGTGCAAGTTGTATGGATTTTCTCACATTGGTTTCTAAACTACTTGGATCAACATAGAACCAATACTTACCGTAAAATCTGTATAAGACACACTAATACTACTAATTAATACCTATTTATTCATCAGTGCACACAATATACCAGTATAAATTGCAATCACTAGAGCCAAAGCAGCTGCAACCTGACACGATTGAAAATTCCTTCCCATTCAATCTGTATTGCCAGCTGATTGCAAACTGTGGGGATACACAGCCACATTGACCAGTCTTGCTGTGCTACTTTTTAACATCTTTTGTCGTTGTCAAGAACACTGGTTTGATGATAGGAACAAACTGGACAAGGTTGTTAAACTAGGCAGCAAGATAACTGGGAAGCAAATGTACAGCATTTCTTTCCTGACAGATCGGTACACAGTGAATTTAGCCATCAAGATTACAGCTGACCCTCTGCGCCCCCTTTGGTCAGAGTATGAACTCTTGAATTCAGGGCGCAGGTACAGAATGCCCAGGATGAGGACTAAAAGAGGCATTACATCCTTTGTACCGCGCAGTATTCAGCTGCATAATAAGAGCTGAGTATACAGGACAAACTCGGCACTCTGCACTTTACTTAACTTGCTGAAATCCCTCAATTGAATCATGTGATGCTTTAGTGTGTTTTTATGTGTTCTTATGTGCTGTCCTGTAAATTTTTGTTTGTATTGTGTTTTTTATGCTCTCTGTGCAAGGCAAATTCCCCTAGGGGCAATAAAGGTTTCATTCCTTCATTCATTCATTCATGAGGCATATTTGTGTAAGATGTTGGAACTCGCAGATGAAAAAGGTCACAAGCATAAAACCCCAGAGCAGTGCATTACCTGATCCCATGAAACATCCTTGATCAAATTTGTAGCTTGCGCAAGATAGTAATGTTATCAGACAGGTCAACGAGGACACAACTAGCCAGTTGTAAATCTTAAGCTAACATAATTATCTAGACATTTAATAAAATGATTTAGATAAAGCAACAAAAACTTATATTTCCACTGTGTCGCTAAGCAACTTCACTTTGAGGTATCAAACACTGGAAAACAGTTTTAAACCTCGTGGGGACAACTAAGCAAAAAAACAGCATCAGCAAACAGCAGCTTTACATGGACAGCATGACACCGGTGCAAAGAGCCACCGTTAGATGGTTCACATTTGTAACAATAAAGACTAAGCTGTGAGTTAAAACTTTTGAGAGTACTTAAAGATGAAGCATGGACTTGTTGAGCTAGGCAGCTAGGCTTACCTTTGGGGGTCTAAATGGGGTCTCTGCATGGCTGATTTGAGGACGAGAGCATCAGGCCGTATGGACTTCTGTGGGGAGGTCTTAGGGCTGGTCTCAGAGTCACCACTTTCATCATCCACTTCTCCCATAGCTTTGACATAGCTACTGCTACGCATTCTCCGACATGGTATCTCATCGTCGTTTTCACCTGGGTATCCGCTCCACTCGTCCTGGGGCACCTGTTGGAGACAACAGCCCTGTATTGAACGCTGCAAACATATTCACCAACATCAGGCAATAACACACTCAAGATATTTTCTGTTCCCTTAAGCTAGTAGTGTTTAATATTTTGTTTTGAAATAAGATATTCAGCTAGTGCAGGAAGACACTGGGGAATTTACTTGCAGGCCAATGAGGCCCAATTAGCCATCAAGTATGAGACGTGTATCAGACAGGTAGTTGGATTAGCTCTAAATGCTTTTTCCCTAAACAGAAAATAAAGCTGCCTCGCATCTGTGGTGTCAAGCTCCAGCTTTAATTTATTACCCTTCGAGGTCTCAAAAAACAATAGCTCAAGAGAGACCATCACGCACACTGGACGGACAAAAATAAGTGTAAAAACTCTAACAAAAAATGATCTACCTAACTACATGTCAACACATAAAAGTATAACTTAAGCACCCCAGAGAGGAGTAGTTTATTACTTAACTTCATATTGTTGATCTTTCTTGCTGTCTCTTCCAATTAACTTGTTTTCTAAATGAAATTATCCAATGAAAAGCCAGAGTCTGAAAACTTTGTTAGAATTTTTTTTTCCCGAATCCTTGGGTTTTATCCTCTTCCAATCAAACCATCATTATTTTTATAGCTTCAATTCATGACAGATGTCATCTCCAGACGCTTTACAAAAGAACAGGGAAAAGACCTTAATCCATAAACCTCACGAAGATGAAAACTGGGCCTTGGATAACTAAGCACACTCTCACATCACATGCAGGCAGGTGACACACAAACACTGCATGCACAATGGTCAGTTGTCTGTTTTGGTTTGAATGGCTCTACTTGTCATTCTGGACAGATGTTCCTATTGCCAATAAATGGATACCTAGAAAGTTTTCCTCTTGCATCAAGCAGAAAAAAAAGTAACAGCATGAGCTTTTCATGGTAATTGACCTGACATTGCACAGCCTGCGATGTGACTATTGCACATGCAAACTTTTCACAAGGAGCAGCTACATTTCTCCAGAAGCCAAAATGTGTGCACCCCAAGGGCTGAAAGTGAAGAAAAGAAAGTTTTACTGTATTTGTGATTTTTATTAAGAACAGGAGTAGTGAAATTAAATATACAGTTTGCATTTTTAACTATTGGCTCTTGGTTATTTGCCGTGCCACATCTACAGTGGCTATAGTCGCTGTGAGGTCGATACCAGCCTTGGCCCTTTTGTTCATGTGATGCTCGCTCTCTCCTCCCTACATTTACTGTCTCTCTTCAGCTGTCCCATACAATAAAGGCAAAAGGCCCAATAATACAACATATAATACAATAAAAACAATAATGAAAAGTAATGAAACAGGTAGATCAGGTAATAAATCTAAATGTGTTGCCTGTTGTTATTCTTGTCACTGTGCTCTGTGGTACTGAACGCTTGTGAAAGTGTGTTTGGCTTCCCTTTACTGTCATGAAGATCCAGCTTAAATTTGATGCTAAAATTTAAAGCCTCCTTTGGGTAATGCTTAATAAAAGAGTGCTGTTGCACATTTAAGTAATGATGTGCAATATGCCAGTAAATAAAGCTAGCCCCAATTAATTGAATCTTCTATATTTGCTGTTCTAAACACCTTTTGTCAGCTTCGTTTGTTCTGTAAAATCCTGTGCCGCACAAAGGGCACTGAGTGTTACACTTCCGGCAGCTTGTCTGGAATAAACACAACTTGGCTAGATGCATGTGGGGGAAGAGTAAGGCTCTTTCCCTTCTGTATTCTTTTACTAGTGGGTGGTTCTAATAAGGAGCTCTACATCCTGTGAGGGATTTGGTCGTGTAGTGTGTATTTGATTTACACAGAAAGGAAAGAAAACTTAATTAACAGCAGGACCTATGTAGTAAGGCTCCTGTAGTTTATAGGGGTCTAAATCACCAGTTTAATTACAATACCACAGTATATCAGTTCTTTGTACAACAACACGATATTTGACGATATCACAAACTCTGAGACAAAACGATTTGGATTTGTTTAAGTGGCCTGTGATTGACTTCAGACGATACTACCCATTTAACTGAATCAGGGACATTTCACTTTGAGAAAATTAGCAATATTGATACGATTTGACAACGTTATTGCTGAAATGTTTTTGACATTTGAATGAAAAACAACTTTTCTTCTGACCATTAAAATTACCGGTATAAAGACACATGTTTGGTTGTAGGGCACACGAGGCATCGCTCAACGTACCAGCCACAGTCGAGGGTAAATAAAAGGAGTGTAAAATAGTGATTTGTGAAAGACAACAGCCCAGATTGAGTCCCCCAGTCTTCTGCTTGTTTCGCTCTGACACGCAAAGTAAAGCCAGCGGCTTACTGATCAATGGGCACCGCCTCCTCATCGTGTCAGTGTTTACAGTGGAAGTGAATCGTGGCAACAGAGGTGAACTTGTATTCCACCCTTTCTAAGTTTCAGCAAATTTAGTAGCAACATTGTTTGGGTGTGCTCACCTGCAGCCATCTCTTTCCCTCCGTCTGTGGCATTGACATACTGTAGGCTGTGTGCTGGAACGGATTTGCATCTGACTAACAACAGGTCTACCAGTTTAGATGTGTGTTTAAAACGATGACTCTGACAATCTGTTGTTGAAAATCTCTGCTAACTGAAGCTCCGTTAGCGCTTTAACGATAAACGTTCAATTTCTTTCACAATAAAAGTCCCCACTCTTGAAGCTGTTGAGATGTTCTAACTATGACAGAGTCATATCAGGTAAGTGTGGTGTTTTCAGCAGCCACTTAAGACGCCTCTGCAGGAAAGGAACAAAACTTAAAACCAAACATATTCAGTAAGAAGCTACTGAGATCTAAACACGCAGTGACTTCTGAAAACATCTTTCGTTATTTTCACGTACAGAAATTAGTTGGATGGAGAGAAACGGGTCTTAGTGTGTAAATATGTGTGCATGTGCTCAATCCCTTTTCATTTCAACAAATACAAATAACGTGCTCACCTCTAGCTTAAGTACTGGAAGACATTTATCTGCACATTTCTAGACACGCGGTGGGAATTTCAAAATAAAGGCACATCATTAAGATGAGGATGTAGATCGATGTTTGGACTTTCCACCTCAAGGTTTCTGTGCACCATGCAATGATTTTGGCGGAAGACAAATACTACTTTACATCTGCAGGGTCATCAAAAGAATCAGATAAGCTGGGTAATACAAACGTTGACGATCATACTCGTAAATCAAAATGTGGGCTTACTCCATTCAAGAATTTCTGTAAAAAAACGATAGAATATGCCTCACACTCGTGGTGATGAGGAACTTTATGTATTTAATGCTCGCACAGCAAAGGCCGCCAATTTCACCCATGAGGCTTTGGGGTGTCGTTTTGTAATCATCTCACAATATCAATGCTATGCAGCCCAGCATATGTTTTCGTGTGCTTTAAAATCAATTTTAAGAATGATTAAACTGCAAAAAAATCAAGATGTAAATCTGTGCAATTTATGAACACAGAAAAGTAACAGTTTAATTACCACACAGTGACCATGTTTAACATCAGCAACAGGATTAACGTAGTAATTAAGAGATTGTGTACTCATTACTGTACGCCGTGTGGTGTTCTTCTACAAACGCCTATCCATTGCAAAGTGCTTGTGTACTGAAAACCAGCAGGCTTTAATTGGTTTTTAATTTGATAGAAATAAAGGTACGTGTCATACTGTTTAACTACTTCCAACCAATTATCTTGAATATTTAGTTTTCATTCACATCAAATTTAATGTTTTTAATTAAACTCCTTTTTCTTTTAACTAAAAGTATACAATCAATAATCACAGATCAAATGATTTACAGGTTAAAAATCAGTGTCTCGTTGGGGTTTTATGATCCTGACGAGTAAGATTTACGATGGCAGTGTGTCACAGGCTGTGCACTCTGGCACTGTATAGATCAGGAATGTGCTAATTACAATCCTATGTCAGTGTGCATTGCAGTTTTAACAGTTGTCCCAATGCACATTGCAAGCCTTGGCTTCTCAAACAGCCAAAAGCTTGAGGCTGTCTGAAATGATTTTCTTCATACTCACTTCATCCCATCAAAAAGCTGTTTATCTGCCACTACTCACAGAAACTAGGCTGGCTAACCACCCCCACCCCTCGTTTTTTTTTTTTTTACCCCCACAGAGAAATATCACTCCTGTCTTCATCTTTGCCTTCTCTGTCTTTCCTTTTACACCAAAGAACATTTCTAAATTGATTGTGTGTTTGAGCGGGGCACACAAGAGAAGGACTTGACAGCATTAGGCTCTTGCATGAAAATGATGGAAAAAAAGAAAAGCATAGAAGATTAAGAGATGCTAATAATAGCAGCCATTGCTTTCCACCATCATACATCTAGTGGATTCCCTCTGATGTATCCCCCAAATGTTTTTGTTGTCGAGTAGAAAACAGTTTTGAAGCACATAGGCCATATGCTACTCGAGCTCTCCTTACAATATAAAACAAATGAACCTCTTTTAGGTAACACGGCTCACTGCAGCACTGAGCCTCGTCAAACAGCAGAAAGGGAAACTCAATGAATATCACTCAGTTCGCTTCTGCTGTGATGTTAAGAAAGAAGTATATTCGTTTACAGTTTTATTAAAATGTGAGTACTCTCATCACCTTATGGATGAATACTCCATTACTCACTAATTATTAGCACTGTCTTTGCTATTAGCAGGCTAGTCTGCCCTGGTATCATTACATACATGTAAAGAGGAGAGGAGCTGAAAATATTGATACTTTTACACATAAACTAAAGACATACCTATTCAGTCTGGCTTTTACTATGTAGGGGTTTTATATATATATATTTATTTATTTATCTTTTATTGTTTTAACTACACATATACACATTTTTTTCCTATTGTTGTCCATTAGTCTCTACTTCTAAATCCATCTTTATTTCTACCCTGTTCTGTCACAACTTCATGTTTCTTCTTGTTTTTCAGTCACAATAAAGCACTTTGAATTTGAATTCTGTGGTGTGAGACTGACTGTTTCCTGTCTTTGTTGGTTTCTCCTCATGGTTTCTCGTTGTGCTCAAAGTTCATTTGGTTAAACATCAAACTTGTTGTTCTTTGTTAGCCAGTTTAACGGCACATATCTTGCACTTTATGTTATTGTTATCTTTTTTTGGGTCACTGCTGACATGATGCATGTGTAACAGACTGTTCTGTGTTGGTTACGCTCTCGCCTTATGGAGTGAAGTGGCCCTTGAGAGTTACCGTAGCTGACGTAAAGCAGGGCTGTAATGCGGCTCACTGTGCATTAGTGTATGTTTAGAAAAGTTTAAATGGGCTTCAGCTTCCCTCGGTAATGTCTGTTAGGTCTGTTTTATATAACTCTGTGTGCTTAATATTTGATTCCATTCAAGGAAATATCCCCCAGGAAACATTCAAACAATGTAAAGAAGTCATGTACTGGCATCAGCAGCAGCTTCACACCACTATCATCTCATGCGTCATTGTTGTGGAGAAAGCTGATGTTGAAAGTCCCGCCATGTCTTGATTCAGATTCGGTCGGTGAAGGAGAAGTGACTTTGATGAGCGCGGCGCTGTTTCAAAAGTTGAACTGAGTTTGCAACTGAGAGCGCAGCGACAAAAGTTAGTTAGTTATCTGAGTAATCAAATCCTCCAATCAGTTGGGCGTACATTTGTCCCCTCTGCTAGATGACTGGAATGATATATAGCTATTGTTTGGAAACTTAATTAATCAAGCCTAAGAACATCATTTTCCTCCTAATGTACCACCATTGATCATCTGGGGCTTTGGTAAGCAAGGCAGCCGTCACTCATGAAAGCATCACACAAGCTCATTAGCATTGCCTTATTGCTATTCCCATCTGATGCCCTACCTGAAAGAATATATTAAGGAGTGCCTCTCAGGCAGCTAGACAGACAAGCTGCTTTACACCATGATGCTACTAATCCCAAAGAATGCTTTGTGGAAATAACAAAATCCCAAAGCATCTTTTAACCAGCAAACATTACAAATATTGTGACTCTAGCACGAGATATACTGGCCTGTAAGAGCTGCAAATAATCGTGCTTTTCAAAGTGAATGAGTCCTAACCTCTATCCGCTGTGTGCTAGTTAATGTTTGTGTTTAGTGGTCAGATGTGTGATTTGTGATAATGACTTTAATTTGATAAATTGGCATACATGACTGCACTCTGTAAATGCAGGGTGCCCAAGGAGATATTATTTGTTTCGGTGTCTGCTGTAAAACACGGTACACACTAGATAACCTTAAGAGATTTTGGGGAATATTTGGGAAACAGGAAATGCTAAACTCTAGGGCCTGATATGGGATTTTTAGGGCCAATACCGATGTATGGGAGAGAAAAAATGCCAATACTAATATATCGGCCAATATCTTTCTCACATCTTGCTTCGATCTTTATACACACATATATATATGTATATATATAATCCTGGAAATCCTGCTTGACTTGAATGTCTTGAATTACCTTCATGACATTACAGTTATCTTACAATATTCTTGTTCTGCACTAACTGTAAGTCGTCCAGATAAGACATTTTGCCATTTTCTGAATGAATAACTGAAGAATTAAATCAATGAGACCTAAAACAACTTGCTTTTGAGTATACTTTGAAGCTTGCACCTTCAGCTTAATGGATGGATGTATCTGTGTGACAATAAAGATGGAGACCTATAAAGCTTTATAATATATTTCTTTTTAAATGCCTAACACCTTTACATCGGCTGAGGATGAACATCATATAAGACAAGTGTCTACATTGCAGTTTATCTCAGGTAGCCGTTCATTCTAACTGTCTTCCACTCTGGCATTGATCCACTCAATTGTTCTCTACACCTTAATAGACAAAAGCCCCCCTGAGGTGGCTACACAAAAGGGAATCCTGGTTAAATTTATTGACTTCTCATAGCGGACACTGTAATTGCCCTTTAGGAGACCAGAAGAACAAAGATAGGTGAAAAAAGCTAGAATCTGAAAGAGCTCCCTGGCAGGATATCTCCTCAATACATAAATCACTACATTTTCCTCAAAAGGACATCAATATGGATGAGAGAGTATTGATGGTAATTATTGTTTGTTATAGTTCTGACTGGAGATGTTCTGTCTTCAGGTGATCACAAATATTCAACCTTAAAAAACTATTCTCCCTTTTTTTTGAAACAATTGAACAATGACAAGAATCCCCCTGAATGGCCCATGAGGAATATCCCTATAAATATAGTAGATGGGTTGACCTGCTAAGACAAGGGGATCTCTCTCAAATAATATAAAAAAATCTTAAATTTCATCTTCAGTAAAATCATAATAAGATGTGAAACACAATGAGTATTCATGGTTTTATCATGGGGACTTAAACCAGCCGTAGTGTACACATTGACACATGCATAAATGTTAATTTCAGTTGCTCCAAACTCTCAATCTACAATCACACACAGTTTAACAATTTGTGCCCTAATCCAACTTTTGAAAACACTCAGTCATTCTTTTTCAGTTTTGTAGAGCTTCCTTCCATTTAAAATGTGAATAAAAGAAGGTACCACTCACCTGCAGGTAGTGACATGTACGCATGGAAGGCTTGAGGTCTGTATGCATCATGGGTTTTTCTAGATTAAGCGATGACTTCCTATAGGCCTCCTTTGCCTGGCTGACTGTAAGTGTCGACCAGGAGCTCCTCTTCATGAATTTGCCCTCGGGTGCCATGGCCATGCTCTCGCAGGCAGAGCACTTGACATCATTGTTACTCTTAGAGGTCTTGAGTGACAGATCTCCATAGTGGTGGCTGTGCATGGAATCAGGGTAGCAGTGGCTGACGTGTTCCCCGTGGTGTCTGGACATGACACTGGGTGTGCGGTAGGTGCTGTCACTATCCAGGTTGTCGTCGGAGCTCCACCAGCCACCTGAGCGTTGCTTTCGTTCTTTGCTTTTGCTCCTCTTGCTACCATGTTTGACGGAGTGGTGGCCATGATGGTGATAACCCCCTGGTCCTCCTCCACCTCCCATCATATCACCTTTTGTGCCATTCATCTTGGATGATCCCTCCAGGGAGTGGGACTTGGTGAAGAGCTTCTGGACAGAATGAACAAGGTGTCTGATGCGGCCAGGACTCTCGCTGCGTTGCTCAGTGGTGGTGGAGGTGCGCTGGTACTGTAACGTGTGGAAGCCATCGCGATGAAGTGGCAGTTGTTTCTCAAACTGGTCTAGTAGGTTAGCAGGAAGGCGGTTGCTCTTGGTGCCAGAGAGATGGGAGGAGGCGGCGGCGGCGGCGGCGGCAGCAGCTACAGCTGGGGAAGTGGCAGAGGCTGTGATGGCAGCGCAGTCGTCCCTTGTGGCTGAGTCGTAATACTGAGAGCTGTAGTGCATTCTTGGGAAGGTGCTGCTGGAAATGTGGTCAGATGTAGCAGCTGGGGGCATCATGACGGGGGACATCATCATGCAGTCAGAGTGGATAGAGCTCCGCGGGGAGTACCGGTGGTGGAAGTCCATGGGGCAGCTCTCTGTGGGGCTGAGCAGGTAGGAAGAGTGACGTGACTCAGCGCCATGGTGAGCGTGGACGTCATGGACGTGCGGGTCATAGTCCAAGCCGTAGGGTAAAGGGATTTGGTGCTGGGAGCGGCTGCCCGATAACCCCTTCATGTTCCTGGCTGGAGGGACGCGTCTGCCTTCATTGAACTTTCGAGACGGGGACCAATGTGGAAACTTCTGGTCTGTTGCAGAGAAGATGGGGGGAAAAAAAGCAGAAAATAAAGTAGTAAGACACAGCCGGGTGAGTGACAATTTTTCAGAAAAATCCTGAAGAGTAATTCCTGTGTCCTGTCTAAATCCCCATAAGCTGAAATTGCTACTGTGGTTCTCTATACTATTACAAGCAAGAACATGACAATTTAAGACTTCTCATGGGAGACTCTTCAAATCCATCTGTCCAAAAATGCGGATATGTGAATGTACATGTAAGTGTATGTAAATATTTCACACTTTCGCTTTGCTGTTTCAGCACAGTTAACACAGTGGGACCTGTAGTGATAAACACTCTTGCGAAGGAGAAACTATATTAGGTGATAAGTTATTACAACATTACAGTACCGTAGTTTTTAGCTAAGAAATATATTTCCTACATACAGAGCTTTGGCGCTAACTGAAGTTGTCTCTTTCTCTTATTAAATCACAAATGTTGGTTCACTTGCAGCACAAAAAGAAGAACAACGATCAGTGTTACATTAATATCAAATGAAGGCAGAGAGATACATTTTTATCCTTATAGTCAGGTAGAAATCCTTTCCCTTCTACAGGCATTGGCGTTTGTATTCACACTTAATGACACACTACGTTTCAAATCTCATCTCATCAGAAGAGAAGTGGTTCATTCCTGCTCATAAAACAGGTTGGAGATTTTAAGGCTCAGTGGACCAGAATTTACTTGTAATGTATAATTTGTCATAGATTACTGATTCTCTCTTTCAAGCTACAGTGACCTGAATAATCTATTGGAATGTTTTCACACTCAAGTGCTTTTATTGGTTGTGTGGAGGGTATAGTGGAGTTTCATTTCTAAGAAGGATGACAGAGAGTACCACAGAGAAATAAAATAGAGTCAATGGGTATATACTGAAGATGTTTAAAAATGAGACACTGATAGACATGAATGATGAACAGTGTTAGTAAGATTATGTTAATATTTCTTAAGTGTAAGATCAGAGACAAATTAAAATAAATGGACAGAATAGAAAAATACTCAAATGTTATACACAAAGAGAATCTGAAGATTTTCTAAACACTGAAACATGGTTTCAGTAAAACAGTTGAAGGAGGCTGGATGGAGCTGGATATCTAAAACATTCTGTTTTAAGTTTATATTAGCTATTTCAGAGGACAAATCAAGACACCATACACCTTTTATCTTAACTTTAATAATTCACTTTAACACCTAGAGTTAGCTAACTGTGGCGAGTAGCTACTGTATCTTAACACTCGCCGAAAATCATTAGGCTACCACTTTGAAAAGCGCAAACAACAGTTGCTTCAAGCTTCCAAGACGTTCCTTCACAGGAAGACAAGGTTCATAAACCTAACCCAAAGCAGTCTCATAAATTGGGAGCTGGATCTCACAAACTGAGCTAACAGCTCTGGAATCTGTGATAAGAGTATTATTTCTGGAGCCCTGCAGTGGTAAACCAGTTGTTATTAGTTATATGCCTAATTACTTGAGATGAGCCGTGCACATCACTGGACGGTGAAAACAAAGAGCACAAAAGAACTTTGTACCACTTTCATAAAACTTTTAAGGAGAGAGAATTTCACAACTTTTATCTCAGGGGTTAAAGAGTTCAGCATAACCTCAAAAAACCTTTTACTTTGCCTATCTAAAAGAGAAGCTTCACACTGAATGCTGCCCAGGCTTCTGTTATATTTTCTTTTTGATGTGTGAACAATACTGCATTAATATGTGCATGCTAAGCTCTTAGTTTATTGTTTTCAACAATACAAATTGGAGAAGAATGCACGGTACAAAATGCATACACTTCCCTTACAGTCATTCCCCTCCCCAGGATATTATAATAGCATCAATTCTGATTGCGTCACCTCTGAGCGTGGAGAATGTATAGTTGTACAGAAAGAGAGTTTAATTATCCAATTCCTCTGAGTAATACTGGGGGCACTATAATCTGTGGTAAATGAACAACAGACCTGCACTTCCAGTTACAAAGCTCTGAGGGCACAGTGTCTGCATGCAACAGAGGATTTTTATAATTAGTATTTGAGAGATAATGTGAGCCAGTCGGATCTGTTCTGCAGCTGGTAATACCTCAGTGGTAATGTTGTGAGACTCAGAAACGAATAATAAATAACAACTCGGGCAGCTACGCCATCTGCAATCTTTATCTTCTTAAAAACTTAAACTAGGTTGGACTGATAGTTGGTGTGGAAATGGCTGACCTCTTATTTTCATTTTTGAATTTTTCTAACACTCAAAACAAGAGCCCAGCCTCTTGTAGGAAAAAACAAACACATTTTGATAGTTGCTTGCCATCACTTACTGAACGACTATAACCGTGTATTATTTAATTTTTCCTCCTCTATGACATACCAACAAATCTTAAACATTCATTCTGCTCTCCTGTGTCAAGATACAAGAAGACACATCCAACAGCATTTTCAACTAATATCCCAATAAGAGAAGCTTCTTTAAGAGCATCTGTCATCCTGTAAGCTTCATGCGTACCATTTACAGCCGACATCTTGCCAGTGAGTGATAAAAGCTGTAAGGTAAGAAGGGAGACAATGTGCAAGCGCCCTGGGTGTCTGCCATCCCCCTGTAATTAATTACTTTAAGTTCTCTGCAGCAGGAAACCCCAGTCTGGAACAGTGCACATCCTCTTACATAACATTTGGGATCTCAGATCTCACACACCATTTCAAAGGAGCCAGGAATGAAATGCACAGTTGTCATGGTAACCGCTGCAAAAAAAAAAGAACTGTAGTGGGATTTTTCAAGGTTGTTCGAGGCTGGATCCCGGCCTTCAAAAAAAAAGATGTATACAGTATGCTATGTGAAGCAGACTGCTGTCCTCGATGAACTGTTACAAATGGGCAGATGCTCCATTTCTAGTTTCAGCCCACCCCGATCATAGCAATTTGAATCATGTAGGTTCAGCCATTGCCTATACACTTCCTTTTTTGGCAACATGACTATTTTGGAAGCCAAAGTTATCATTCATAAAAACACAAAACATCTGCAGCCCCCTCCAAGTACTTTCTGTATCACCGTCAGCCTGATCAGCATTTTTTTGTTGATCTACAATCAACACAGCATTCTGATTGCATGCACTCTCTAGAGGAGGTTTGATTACTCCATAATAAGCTGTACGGAGACTAATCTTTCAACCCAGATTGGGCTCTTTAGCTTTCAACTAATTCATTTCAAGGAGAGTCAATTTGGCAAAAGTCATTTTTTAAGGAATCGCGAGAAGAGACAAGAAAATGCTCAAATTTTGTCACTTGGACAAATCGGTAATAAATAATAAATAAATCGGTACATGTAGACTATGGCTGACCATTACTCTAGCACCAACCCTCATTACAAATGTATATAGCCACTCCAGGATTTTGTTGCTAAAATAAACTTTATAACTTTTGATAAAGTATCTCATACTGTATAAAAGTCATAAAGTTATTTGTTTTTAAAATGTAGTACAAGGGAGAACATCCAAAAATATTCTAAAGGTGATAAAACTCAAGTTAAAGGCACACCATTTTCAAACTGTGTACTGTACTTAAAGCTTCCTGTATACATAAATGAACATTTTAAATATTGTTTTAGCTTTGTCTGGACATGGCTTATTGATTGACTCCTTTTACCTGTGACTGAAAACATCCCAATCATTTTTGGAAAGCTTTATGCTCTTGGAGCAGTCTCAACCCCAAAGTGATAGTCAATGGGAATGTGAGCTGTGCTGACAAATACTGTTCACATAAAAATCTCCGCTTTCTAGAGCGAAACGTGCAACTTAACATGCCTAAACTCTGTGATCAAGCCACTTTTAAACTTTACTGTCCTCTTGCATATTGAATTTGAGTAAAATGCAGAAGTCTGTTGCTGAATTTCTGACAGATCATGATGCCAGTGACACTTCCCACCAATCCATAACAAGTACGAGAATAGTGCAATCAAGTGATCCGAGTTTCTATTATCAACTTGGTTTAAGTGATACAACATAAACACACACTGAATGTCTGCCCCTAGAGGTTCATGTCATGCAATATTTGCTACAGAATCCAACTAATACATGGAGGCCAATGCACAGTTCTCTGCATTCGGAGGAGCTAGGCAAGGGATGCCTGCAGGCTCAACAATCAGGTTAAAAAAAAAAAGCAAGATGTGTCATCGGACTGAGTCTGGATCCCCTGCAGGCAATAGCAAAGGGAAGGATACTCTATCTTGGACAATACCACCCACTCTCCCTACGATGAGCTGATGCAACTACGGAGCACCTTTAGTCTCCAGCTCATCCGCCCGAGGTGAACCATGGAGTGTTTCTAGTGATTATTTGAACAGACTTCTATGTGACCACGCAGCACTTACTTCTGATTCTACAATATCACCAGTTTCAGTTTGTGCTTAAAGTGTCAACAGTGGAAAACTGGCCTGCACATCAGCCTTTCTAAACGATACCTGTATTCTTCACATGGCCAGATTGGATGATTATTTCAAATCTAAAGGAGGGCCATTTGGCATTCAAGAACAACACGTTAGGATGAGAGTGTACAGTAGGTTCACGTTTACCAATCTTATCAGTGACCAATACATTGTCTTGCATTCCAGCGTTCACAATATGAATAAGAAATCTGTCTGTGAGAAAGAGCAGTTGTTCAATATAGGTTAAAACTGCTTATTGTGCTAATTTGCACATCTGTGAACACGTCTGCTTACAATCTGATTAGCATGCTGTACAAAAAGAGCTAGAACCAGAGGCAAAGGAAAAGATTGATGGACTTCTGAGGGGAGAGAATTAAGCTTCTGAAAGGCCTTCGAGAAAAGCAAGAAAGCTTGTTACTGTTCTACGACGTTGGGAACATTTCAGAAGATTACATTTCCAGTCGAGAAGATTACATGCAGTCATGGTGTGATTGTCAATCAAACTGTTTAAGTCAATATACTGTAGGCAGAAATTAAATATTAACAAAATC